AAGCTGATGGGTTGCTAGGCACAGGTCCCACCAGCTGAGTGGCTTAAATGGCAGGATGTATTGTTTCATCGTTCTTGAGGCCAGAAGTTTGAGATCAAGGTCCTGGTGTGGCCGGTTCCTCAGGAGGAAGGGCCCTGAGAGAGAATCTGTTCCATTTTCTCCCCTAGCCGCAGGGGTTTCCCACCACCTTCAGCGTTTCTTGGCTTATAGAAGCATTGCCGACCTCAGCCTACATCTTCACATGGTGTCCTCGCTGCGTGTGCCTGTGCCCAAATTTTCCCTTTTTGTAGGGACACCAGTACTGGTGGATTCAGCCTAATAACTTTATCTTAACTAATCACATCTTCAAAGGCCCTGTTTTCAAATAAGGTTACACTCCGAGATACTGGAAGTTGGGACTTCCACACAGGACTGGGCCCGGGGACTCAGTTCACCCTCACACAGGCCTGACATTGGAACTACATTGCATCTCTGAGGTGAACGCTGCTTCGAAGGCTGTTAGCACAGACGAGCTTATGCTGCAGTCACTACCAGTCTCAGTGACCAGTGACTAAAACCAACACGTCCTTCTCCCTCAGTCCCATGAGGGTCTGTGGCTTCCTCCCGGGCGGGTGTTCTCCAGGCCCTGACTCAGGGATCCAACCTGCTGCCCTGCTTCTGGTCCCACCACGAGGGACAGGGAAAGGCCCCTCGGCACCAATGCTCAGGTGCTCTCACCGGAGCCAGTCCCCTGGGCCTGCGCACCTGGAGGGGCACCAGGGGAAGGGCCACAGGTGGAGTGTTTAGGAGCTCCAGCCTCTGCCACGCTGGGTGTTTTGGGGCTGGTGTCAGGGAGTGTTTACCGAAGGCCCTGGAAGCTCAATACTGAGCATGTCTTGGAGGGCCGGGGAGAAGGTATTTGCTTTAGGAATTACAGCTGGAGTCACCCATGTCCCTGACAGTGGAAAAAGAAAAAATAATAGACCTGGGAAGCAGTCATCAGTTCAGTCTCCAGACAAAGTGAGTGAGTTCTGGGGTAAGATGGAGGCAGCACTTTAGGGTGAACTCCAGGGCAGGCTCTGGCTTTTTCCAGAAGGGGAGGAGGAGGAGGAGGAGGAGAAGAAAAAGAAAGAGGAGCATGAAGAGAAAGTGGAGGTGCTGGCCCAATAGGAAGGGACCATCTGCTTCACTGCACCCCTTTCCTTGCTGGGGCCCGGGTGGGGTGGAGGGTTGGGGAGGACAAGTCCTCACACCCCCACCACCTCCCGCAGAAGTTCACATGGATCCTGGCATTTTGTAGAGGTTGAGTGTGTACTTCTGGTGAATGAATGATTGATTGAATGAATGAATAACAATAAATGCCCTCCTTTTTCTAAATGCCCCCATTCCTATACCAAATGCCACATTCAGCCAAAGAAAGGAGCAATCCTTGCCCCTGAGATGGGCCTGATGGCCTGCAGATGATCTCTAGCCTGCAGCAGCGGACGCCCCTGCCCTCTCCTGACCCCGGTTCCAGAGAGGCAACTGGTGCTCACACCCAGTGCCTGGTTACGGGAATGGACTGAAGTCAGGAATGAGGCCCCTGGGAAAGATTACAAAATAATCTACAATTTTGGCATCCACTAACAGCACATAAGGTTTATCCATCCTCAGCTCTGTCCTGCCAGCTACTGAGGGAAAGAAAAGGGGATAGCCCAGGGCTATAGGCCTGCCAAACTTTGAGTCCACTCACTGGAGGCACTCCCACCTCATTTGCATACCCACCAACTCCCATCCTTCCCAAGGGGGCAGCTATTTAAGGGGAGCTGGAGTTCAGACTTAACAAGACCAGCACTTGGAGCTATTAACACCAGCATTCTCTGAGAGGTAATACCCCAATATTCATGCCCTGTCAGGAGTATGGGTCCTGCTTAGTGGCTGCCTTTAAGAGTGGCTGTGTTGGCATATGTGTCCATGTGTATTTATGCATGTGTCTGTTGCATACATGGACAAATACATACATGCGCATGATTTGTTGGGATGTGCACAAGTGTGTTGTATGGGTATGTGAGTGATTGTATGAAAGGAGGTCTGCATTAGTGGGTGAGTCTAGGAGTGGGTATATGCATGCATATGTGTGTGACTATATATGCATTTGCGCATGTGTATATGGGTAAGGGGTTGGAAAGTCTTGCAAAGAGAGGGTGCTGTGCTTTAGTTTTAGAAAAAAATATTGGAGATTGAACTTCATAGATGGAATTCCCATGCCTTGAATCCGGTTGGAACAAGTGAGATGTGTCTAATGGGGGGTGGGGGAGAGGTGCACAACCTATGACCTTGTGAGTCTCAGAGTTGGTTGGGACGACCTGGTTGCACCCTCCAGGAACTCTCAGTCTGATGGGGACTGTGGATCATCTCCTGAGCGTACCGTGTTGGGGTCTCCTTGAGTCTGAGGCCTGCATGTGTGTGAAAATACTCAAACAGAGCGGGGAAGGGTCAGGAGGTCCTGTGTGTGCACGCTACTGTGTGTTCGTGTGTGACGAAGGTAGTCATCCTGGATTGATGAGCATGTCGGTGTGTCCCCCTGAAGGTTCCTTTTCCAGGGTTGCTGAGCAGGGGGCCAGGGCAGAAGCTGGGACCACCGGGGAGAGGAGTCTAGGCCAATCCATCTGCATTTCTCAAGCAGGGGACTGTCCACATGAAGACCCTTCTGTTGTTGGCCTTGACCATGGCCTTTGGTAAGAGCGAACTCTGACCTCTGGCCACAAGGGGGCAGCCCAAGATGAAAGCACCCTTAGCCCCAGCTTTCCTTCCCATTTCCACAGGCCCTACCTCAGTGGGTGGGAGAGAGGCCCTAGTGGGAGGTGGAGTAGCAGAGAGGGGCAGAGAAGGAGGGCACAGGGCCCCAAACCCCATTCCCAGACTATGTCCTTCCAGGCCTGCTGCAGACCCACGGGAGTTTACTGGGTTCCCTGGAAATGATTGAGTTCAAGACAGGAAAGGATGCTTTCTCCAGTTATGTCTTCTATGGTTGCTACTGTTCGTCAGGTGGACAAGGAACCCCCAGGGACGCAACAGATTGGTGAGGCCACCCCAGCCCTCCCCTTCCTCTGCCCACCCGTGGCCCCTGCAGGGCTGGGAGCTGCCAGGGCAGGGCTGGTGCCCATCGTCACAGAACCCCAGTGGGTCCCTGCAGGAAAAGCAGGCAGCATGTTGGAGAGTCCACTCTAGACCATTGCAAGGTCACTGGGTCTCTGCCCAGGGTCAAGGGGCACGACCACGGGGGACCAGGCTCCCAGGAGCTGTGGGGAAGCAGCCCAAATCACATCTCCTCGCCGCAGGTGCTGCGCCGAACATGACTGCTGCTACGAACGTCTGCAGAAGGAGAAATCTTGCAGCAAGTTTCTGAACTACAACTTTACTTATGAAAATGGCCAAATCGTCTGTGGTAAGGACGTCCTACAACTTCACCCTGTCTCCTTGGTTTCTCTTACTGAGTCTCCGCTGTGCTAGGCACTGTGTTGAGCACCAGAGATATATATACAAAGGGGCGCAATGGCCATTTTGTTCAGTGGATAGAGCATCGGCCGTGGGTTCAAATCCAACAGCACGTACCTCTGTTGCAAGCTCCACCCCCACCCCCAGTTGAGTGGGTGCAGGAGGCAACCAATTGATGTGTCTCTTTCACATCAATGTTTCTCTCTCTGTGTGTCTCTCCCCCTCCCTTCCACTCTCCCTAAAAATCAATTGGAAAATGTCCTCAGGTGATGAATAACAACAAACAAACAAAAAAGAGGAAGAAATACAAAGGGACAGTGTCCCTGCCTCAGGGTGCTCATAGGTGAGTGGGAAGTGAAGACAAGGAAAACACTAGATGGGAGACTCTAATAGGCAGTAAGCCAAAGGCAGGGCCCTGAGCACAGGCTGCGGTCCTGGAAGGCTCCTGACATCCAAGGTGAGTCTTTAAGGCTGTGCAGGCACCAGGGGGCCGGGAGGGCCAGAGTGAGTGGGACATGAGGCCAAGATGTCCTGGGGCACGTTTGGCTCTGAAGGGGAGGAGAGAGCTGGGTGGTCAATGGAAGGGTTTGCCCAGTGGCCCCAGACAGCAGACCCGCTGCTGGGATTTTGAGAAAGTACCGCCTCTCCCCCAACACCCTGAGCTCTTTAAGATCAGAAATGCTGTCTCCCTGTCATGACCGCCCATAGAAGAGGCTTTCCCCTTCGGACGTCTCTATTTGGGGAGGAAATGAATCCTTCCCACAGCCCCCGGGCTGGGGCTTTGGAACTGGACACACCTGTTGGGAAGAAGAAAGCTCTCCCAGTGCTTGAGGGCGGGCGGGCGTCCCTGTCAGACTGGGCGCTCGCTCTCCGAGGGCAGGAGCTCTGTCTTCCCATCGGAAGGACCCGGAGCCTTGGTGCTTGCCCGGACTAGACGCGTCTGGAGGACAGGGGCCTTCGAACATTCCCAAACCCTCAGCCAGGTTTATTTTCTTGTGATTCCAGTGTTGCAGGATTACTGTCGCAGGCAGCTGTGTGAATGTAATAAAGCAGTTGCTGACTGTTTTGCGAGATACCTGAACACCTACCAGGAACGGTACCAATTCCACTACAACAAGCAATGCGACGGGAGAGACTACCAGTGCCACCCGCCCGTGGAAGTCTAGCCTCCCACGCTGAGCTTCCCTCTCTGGCTCCCACCCCTCCCCGCAAAGAAGGAAACACCCCTCTCACATCCCAGAGACAAGCCAGGAGCCCCTTGACCCCCAGAGAGAAGCCTTCCTTCCAGAATGAGAAGCCCCCGGGCCTGTGGCCTGTCGCCTTTTCCCTCTTCCTTGGGAGGCAGGAGATGTCCCTGGAAGTCTAGCCTTCCACGCTGAGCTTCCCTCTCTGGCTCCCACCCCTCCCCACAAAGAAGGAAACACCCCTCTCACATCCCAGAGACAAGCCAGGAGCCCCTTGACCCCCAGAGAGAAGCCCTCCTTCCAGAATGAGAAGCCCCCGGGCCTGTGGCCTGTCGCCTTTTCCCTCTTCCTTGGGAGGCAGGAGATGTCCCCATCCCCACTGCTCTCCAAGTCCCGCTTCCTGCTTAGCCATGGCGGCTACATTCCCAGGGTCTCCTCTAAATAAAGCAATTACTTCATTGGCAAACTGTGTACCTGTCTGTGTCTGTGTGTCTGTGTGTGTGTGTGTGTGAGTGTGTATGTGTGTAAGTGAGTGTATATGAGACTGTGTATGGGTGTGTGTGTGTATGAGTCTGTGTGCATATGTGGGTGAGTGTGTGTGTGAGGGGGTGTATGTGAGAGAATATGTGTGAGCCGTGTGTATGAGTGAGAGTGTATGTGAATGTGTGTGTGTGAGTGTGAATGTGCGTGGGAATGTGTGTATGGGTGTGTGTGTGCATATGTGTGCATGGGAGTGTGTGTATGTATGTGTGAGTTTGTGTGTGTGTGTGTGTGATATGGGTGTGGCATATGTGTGCATGGGAGTGTGTGTATGTATGTGTGAGTTTGTGTGTGTGTGTGTGTGTGTGTGTGTGCCTGCCTTGGTGTGAGAACAAACTGGTACAAGGCGATGTCGTGTCAGGGGCTATAAATACAATACAGACGCACCACCACTGAGCCCTTCTCCCCTCATCCCATTGGTGACAGCTTTGGGCTTATTGGAGAAGTGGGAGAGGTACCAGCACCAGTGAGACCCAGCTGTGGCTGCTCCTTCCCTGGGCGAGAGCAGCTCCTGCTGGCCTGTGGGGAAAACAGAGCCTTGGTCTTGATGTTCCGGGAGCTACGAATCACACCTCCATGGGCAATATTCTCCTGTGGGCGCGGCCCGGGGGTGTGGGCGGGGGGGCGCAGGTGTTGCTGG